ATATAAAACATCTATATTAATCACAAAATTAATTTAAAAAAAAGCACAAAAATATAAAATAGGTTAAATACCTTTTTTGGTCCCTCTACTATAGGAAAAAGCCCCTTTTTGATTCATGTACCGAAAAAATCCCCTTTTTGATCTTTACTGTTCACAAATCCGGCCCCTTTTTGGTCCTTCCGTTAATTTTTGCTCACATGGCACGTTAATTTAACTGGAACAGCTGACGTGGGTATGCCAATGTGTAAAATATGCTTACGTGGACTTATAACACCCTCCACATCACCCTTCAAGTCACCCTCTCCCGCGTGAAAAAAAGAAAAAAAAGTTAAATGCTAAATTTAGTCCCTCAATTTTATAGGTTTACATTTTTTTGTCTTTAAATTATGTTTTTCATTTTTTTTATTAATTATAAGTTTTATTTATCTATATAATCTAATAATAAATTATGTGACTTTATAGGTTTCTATTTAAATTATAATTATGCTAAAACAAACTTTATAAAATGGCATTTCTCTTTTTTCATGTGGTATTTTTTTTCATATTTAAATAAAAACCCACATAATTTATTATTATTATATTATTCTTCTTCTTCCTCCCTTTTCTCTCTTATCCCTTCGCCCCTTCCTCTTTCTCAGCCTTCTTCCTCCGCAAACCCAGCAAATAAAAACCCAGCCTTCTCTCTTATCCCATAAGGAACCCAAGACCTGGGTTCATGAAACCCAAATATGGGTTCCTCGCAGAACCCAGTTGCTGGGCTCGCAGAACCCAGTTGCTGGGCTCGCAGAACCCAGTTGCTGGGCTCGCAGAACCCAGTTGCTAGGTTCGCGAAACCCAACTGGTGGGTTCGCGAAACCCAGCTGCTAGGTTTCACGAACCCAGCTTTGGGTTTCATGAACCCAGGTCTTGGGTTCCTCATGGAACCCCCTTGTTGGGTTCCTCATGGAACCCCCTTGTTGGGTTCGCAAAACCCAGTTGCTGGGTTCACGAAACCCAGTTGCTGGTTTCGCGAAACCCGCAAGGAGCCTTGGATTCTTCTTCTTCTTCTTGATGGATCCTCATTCGATTTCTGTTTGTTTTCCTTTAGTTATTTACCTTCTTTCTTTTGATTGAAACGCATTCTGTAATTTAGATCGTGTTTTCTTTGAATGTGTTACGAAATCGTGCTCGGTTTTGGTTGATTTGCTGTAGACTAGCTGGAAGTATATGGAGATGGAATTTGGAGAGTGTTTTGAGTTGATTAAGAGTCAAATTCTACTTTGTTTTAAGGAAAAAGAACCTGATAATCTTGATTTCTTGTTTTTAATGGATTGCTAATATTTGATTATTGAGGTAGTGGGGGATGATTTTGAGCTCGTTGAGGAGTATTTCGACAATAGTTTGCTGAATCTAGATGTCTACAATGCCTTGGAGAAGTGCCTGCAGTGCCCACCTGGGTTCATCGTGAACCCAGGACGAACCCACCCAGGTCGCACTGGGTTCGTCGGGAACCCAGGCACGAGCTAGGTTGGTCTTGGGTTCGTGAAGAACCCAGCGCGCACCTGGGTTCGTCAAGAACCCAAGATGAATCCACCCAAGCCTGGGTTCTTCACGAACCCATGAACAATGAATTCAGGTCACACCTGGGTTCCCGACCTGGATTGGAGCTGCGTTCGCTTGGAGGTAAAAGAAAAAAAAAAGAAAAAAAAATAAAGCACAGAGGAAGGAGAGGATGGGGAAGAAGATGGGGTAAATTAGTAATTTTTTCTTTTTCCGTGCTGGGAGAGTGACGTGGAGGGTGATGTGGAGGGTGTTATAAATCCACATAAGCATATTTTACACATTGGCATACCCACGTCAACTGTTCCAGTTAAGTTAACGTGTCATGTGAGCAAAAATTAACGGAGGGACTAAAAAGGGTTCGAATTTGTGGACAATAAGGATCAAAAAGGGGATTTTTTCGGTATAGGGATCAAAAAGGGGTTTTTTTCTATAGTAGAGGAACCAAAAAGGGTATTTAACCTATAAAATATGAATTTTCGCTTTCCTTTAACTAATATATCTTTCTTTTTCTTTCAGGTGCTACATGCAAAAAGAAGAAACTCAAGAAGAAAATAAAGAAAAGAAACTCGAGAAAGGACTCAATTGAAGGACTCAAAAGTTCAAGGGTGAGATTCATCAAAATTGCAAACCCAACACCAACCCATTTCAATTGAGCCCATTAAATTATCTAAACCCAATTACCCAAAACCCAAATACCCAAACCCAAAATCCCCAAACCAAAAAAATTACTCAAAACCCAAATACTCAAACCCAATTACCCAAAACCCAAAACCAAAGAAAAAAAAAAAAGTTAAATATTTTGCTCTCCAGAACCTTTTTCTTCCCCACACACCCGAGCCTTGCTCACCGCGAACGAGCCTTGCTCCGCGCCCCTTTTGCTCACCGCGAACCAGCCCTGCACCTCTGCTCCCGGATCCCGTGCCTTCTGCACCCAGATCGCCTGCACTCTGCACCCAGATCCCCTCACCTCTACGCCCAGATCCCCTCTCCTCTATGCCCCACTGCCGGCAATCATGCCCCTGCACACTGCGCCCCGGCCCCAATCTCGCGCCTCTACACTCCTACTTGCTACAGCCCTATCCTTGCCTCACCTGCAAAAAAGACAGTGTATACCAGACAAAATTAGCATCATTAGTGATTGACGCAGCAAGACTTTTCTTTATTTATTTCATTTTTTAAAATTTTGTTATTTGGGTATATATAGAGCAAAGAGCAGAGTAAGGAGGGGGTCTTTGGTTGATTTTGGGAGTCTCCTTCTGAGTTTTCGAAGAGCAGTAGAAGGGGATTTCGTGGGGAAGAAAAGG